TGCTGCCTTGATTTGGAGCTTCCTAGACTCCAATCTTTCTGTGGGGAATGTGCCATTGACTAAATAGTCTACAATGGAATCTTGTCAGTTTGGAGTTGTACTAACTTGTGACAGCTCGGCTGCTGGCTTTACCTCTATGCTTGGTTCGTCTAGATACTCCACCAAAATAAAGTGTTTGAGTTGGTGGTTAGGGGCAAAGCCTAGGTCGGCTAGTAAGTCCACGTGAGTATTGTCTGCCTGTGGAACTTAAGTGAGGGTGTAAGTTTGAAACGCCTCAAGTAGTCTGGCTAGTGATTAACTGTGAATCAAAATGAATTACTAGCTTTTTCACCGCCAAGTCTTTTGCTATTCAAATGCCTGCTAGTAGGGCCTCGTACTCTGCTTCATTGTTGGATGCTTTAAAGTCTAGAGTGATCGCTTGTTTGGGTATCGAATCATCTAGGGTGACAAGGACTACGCTTGCTTTCGAACCTTTGTTGTTGGATGCGCCGTTGACATGCAAATGTCAGAATTCTCCATCGGGTGGAGTAGACACGGCTAGGGCATGCTCGACTACCTTCAGGGCGTCGTTGGGCCTCTCTGTTGTGTCGTGAATGCGTGGTAGAGATTCATGGAGTTGGGACCATGTTACACGTAGCAAGAGATGCTTAACTGCCAGTATTGGACCACTCTAGAGCTAAATTATGAAGTAAGGGTAGGCTAGGGCCTTGTGACGCGCAGCAGGAGGTAGTGCTCACCTGTCGGTACATGTTGTTCCTAGAATCTTTTGGGGCGACGAGGACAAAACTTGTTTCCGAATGTCTCCTTCTAGTGTTCGTTTGCCTTTGGTGTGTCTTTTGGGTCGAGTTGTTACGTTCGTTAGAAAACTTTGCATCTGCCAGGGTTTATTATTGCGTGTCTGGATTGGGCGGAATAGTGCATCATAAGGATAACTGTGTCTGCTTAAAGGTAAAACTTAAGCTTCTTGCTTGCAACAACTATCACCAAAGTTAGCTTTTGAATTTATGATAGCATCGATGAGAGCTTTTGAACTGTGGAATACAAGTAGTCGGGCCCCCATCTCTTCTCGTATGATGGTAGAGCTTATTGCTGTTTTAGATAATGTCAAACATGCGAATAAGTCTTCTGTACTTCTTTAAGTCCTTGAATATGCATCAGCGAGCCTCATCCCAAAAATGCATGCTTCCCTGCCAGAGCGAAAGAGTATGCTAGAGTTAGATATTCTTTCATGATCAATTTTCCGAATAGCTAGAGTTAGATATTCTTTCATGATCAATTTTCCGAATAGCAGGTGGTCTGCTGTAAGTCTTTTTAAGAAGGTTGTTTTAGCTATCGAGTTGTTGCATCTGACTATCCTTGCCTTCTTTGCTTTGAACCTTTTCACATAGTCACGAAGCGACTCCTTTGGGTTTTTCTTGACGTTAAACAAATGGTCGGACTTCTTTTTGATTGAGCGATATGATGAATATTCTTTGGTGAAAACCAAAGAAAGTTCGTTGAAACTCCGGATGGATTGTGGCGGTAAGGTATAGAAGCAATCTTACGCCTCGCCTTGTAGAGTGGTGGCAAATATCTTACAGATGAAATCATCGTTGTTTCGATAGAGGATCATTGCGCTTCGGTAGTGCTTTAAGTCTCTCTCCGGGTCTTCATCCTCTTTGAAAGATGTGAAATGTGGCATGTCGAACTCGTGTAGAGGCTTTGCCAGCTCGATCTCGTCTATGAAATATGACCTGCTTATGTTGGTCATGTTCTGTCGTAGTGCCTCATCGGTGACCTCGTTGCATTGAAAATTACGCGATCGCTTGGTCAAGAGTCTCTCTACTTCTTCTTGAATTTACCTTTGTTGGGTTAACAAAGCTCTCGGCTGTCCCTAGCCATGACTTGCTGGTCTAGGCTACTTTTCCATGTGTTTGGCTCGTCTATGTAGCAAATGCGATACGAATGATGCTTTCTTAGCAGGCGAGTGAGTTCTTTGCAAGCTGCCGGTTGAACTTGAGCCGGATTGAGTGACTGTTTCTCTCTGTCCGTCATGCTGCCTACTCCGATGTAAGGTGGATGATGCTTCTTATGGGTTTAGCTGCAAATGAAGACTTCGCCTAGAAGGTTGTTCATGTTGACTATCGGAGTGTGACCCCAACCGTGTATGTATACTCATCCGTGGGCCTAGTCGAGAGTGCACGCTCCTCTGCACGCTCAGACGGAAGTATACGCTATCTCAGGGGCCCAATCGAGAGTGTACACTTCCTGAACGCTTGGTTTGTGGTTGGTCGAGCTGCTACTTGCTGGGAGGCTGCTAAAGAGGTTATTTGTCTGCCCTTGTCCTACTTAGGGACACCTCGTATGGGGCACATTGCATCTTGGTGCACTGCAAGAGCTGGTTCACCAAGGTCGTCTGCTGTGTAAGGGCACTCGTCAACTTTATGACTTGTTGAGACAAGTGTTGTTCTCTATTTGGGTCGGAATAGCTTGGAAGGAATGCGTCTCCTTGAGTAGTGGAAGTGTGGTAGATTCCGAGTATGAGATTTGAGTTGGAAAATGTCAAATCCATAGAAAAATATGGTGAAAATGCTTCTGGTTAGATCGTTGGTTCGGAAATTTAGAGCCAGGACGGTAGAACTAATCTTGGATCGATTTGGGCTGCTTGGAAGGCCACGGGAGCAGGCTGGGCCATGAGAGTGGGTTGCTCAGTGGGAGCAGGCTGGGCCAAGAGAGTGAGCTGCTTGGCCGGAGTAGGCTGGGCCACGGGAGTGTGTGCAAGGCTTAGGCTCGGCTTAACAACGCTTTGAGCTTGCGTTGGGATTGAAGTGACATGGCTTGCACCATGGCCTTGGATGGCACAGCTCGGGCTGTGGTGGTGACACCATGGACCTCGCTGCGGGTGGCTACCATGGTGGCTATCGCGGTGGTTCCTATGGTGGAAACTCGTGGTTCTGGTGCCGATCCACTTATTGTCACGTTTAGCCTTGTGAATTGCCGTGGTCCCATCTCTTGAATATTGGAATTTTCACTTGTTGAAGATGTTTGTTCACTACTCGCGCGTAGGAATTTCGGTGATCCTCAAGGGTAATTTTGTCATTTTGCCCAAAACTCCACGTGTCGCCTCTTGATTATTTTTGGCTTCACAATCCTGACCTGAATATCCAAATAAACACTGAAGTCAAGGCGTGTTGACCTACACCGAGACAGTGACAAAGCCATATTATGGAAATGATGGGTAAAAGTGCAAGTAGATTAAATTTGCGAATTAAGTAATGTATCACCAATAAGAAATAAGTACATTAGTCAACACTTAAATAATAGATCAATTCATCAACTTTCCTACCATTTAGTTTATAAAATTTAATCTCCTTAGCTTTATCCTAAATTAAAACCAGAGTCTAGATCTATTTTAAACTAAAGGTGAGTCTGCGCATTGCAGGGTGTTTCATATTACAAAATATGTAATTTCAAAGATAGATAAAAGTGCAGTAAAAGAATGTCACGGTACGGAACTTTAAGTTGTTGAGACATTATTCCTTAACTAAAGATCCAAGGTTTAAGAATTCTGGACCATAACATGAGCCAATCTTGAAGTTCAACTTCTTGAAAGTATAGCATGTGTTCTTGGTGTTCAACTTCATGTAAGTAGTAACTACCCAAAACTACTTCCAATGTAACCAATACAAGTCCTTGATACGCACCACCACCACTTGTTTTTGTCACCTTTTCTTTACATCTCTCAAACAATTGGGTTATAGGCCAAGAGCAAGACAGACAGACAAACATGGAGATGGGATATAGAGCAATCTAGTTACCTGGAATGAGACATGCACCATAATCCATAGAGTCCATCCAAATTACAAAGCCTGTTTGTAAAAGCTGTAAAAGGACACAACCTAGAGAAGGGGATCGATCAACCCCAAAAGAAGCTTCCCAATATAAAACAAACAAGTAATCTCTCTCTCTCTCTCTCTCTCACGCTTGGGACTACTCTCAAAGCAGTCTCTCTTCTTTTTACGAGGTACAGGTACACTCTTTCGTCCACTTTCTAGTTCCTAGTCTTGCCTCTGCTCAAGTGCGACGCCCTGTCACTGTAGTTATACAGTAAGTCTAAATTTTGAAGGCAGAGCGTCAAAGCTTTTGCTTCCTGCCAACTCCCATGTGACTCAATTTTGTAACAGTACTTTTAACTGGTATGAGAGAAAAAGAACGTGTCTTGTTATGTTCGAGCATTATCCAACTTAACCGATATGGAGATAAATATGATCCTTTGACTCTTGGTTTTTTGTGATAGGACTAAAACGAGCCCTATGGTCCTTTGGCTCTTGGTTGGAGATGGAGACAAATATGGCCCCGTACTGTTCATTAAAATATTAATATTTTGGAGGGTCAGATGTCTAAAACGAGTCATTTGGCTAGCCTTCGGTTAGAGATGGCCTTAATTCCCTCCCTCAATCTCAACTGGGATACCCCAGTTTGTTAAGAAGGTATCAGAGCAGGTTGTCCTACGTGTGAAGCCAAACGGTTACATGTGCTCCACGTCCTCCCATTGTACTATCCATGTGTTAGGCTTGAAAATTCGCCACACATGAGAGAATGTGTTGAGAATAAGTCCCACATTGATAAGAGGAATGATCTTGCAAGCGCTTATAAGAGATTAAACTACTCATCATATTACTAATTAATTTTATGATGAAACTTCAACTTCATTCACAGTCCCAAAAAAAATTTTGCAACGTGGGAGCAGTCAATGCTTTTCTACTCTGCTTCAAATTTGCTGTTGACTGAGTCATTTTCTTATGAAAAAGTGTTTTATAATTTACCCAACTGGTGGAGGATATAGACACAGCTCTTGTTCAAGATACCAAAAAGTATTTGACTCCACAAAGAGAAGCATCCCATCCACATCCACAAAGCCTCTCTCTCTCTCTCTCTCCATGGATCTCACAAGCCCCAGATGCTTTCAACCTCCATCTTTTATCTCATCCAGTGGGGTAAATATCCCACATTTGGTTTTTTTCCTTTTACCTTCATTTTGTTTTTACATTTGCCCATATGAGTTTTAATTACTCTTCCTTGTTTTCCTTTTTTTTTTTCCTGTTGTTTTTGGTGTTTGTGATTCAGGAACAGCCATTGGAGAGCAACCCAAGCTTCTATGGAAAAACCAGTAACAACCCATTTGCTGACACATTTCCAGATCCTCTCTGCAAGCTCAACCTCAAGGAAACCTCTGATTTTGTCAAGTCACTCCCGGTCCCAAGAAATGTCACGTCAGCACAGCGGAGGGAGGGAGGAGTGAGCTCTGTGACACAGAGGAGAGCAGTAGAAGCTCCTCCTACTCCTGGAAGGCCAGTTTTCAGCTTCTCAGTTGGCAACTTTTCGAGAAAGAGCTTTCCTTCAAAGTGGGATGATGCTGAGAAGTGGCTCATAAGCACTTCCTGCCAAGAATCTCCTGCTCACACCATCAAGCCACAATCAGATTCCACAAATATTTTTAACCCAAAACAATGTGAGGTTTTTGCTGAAAAATTAAGGGTCACAGAGGATAAGGTCTCAAAGGTGGTCTCAAGCTTCCAAAGATGTGTTTCTCTGAACAATTATCAATCTGCCAGAGCTTTCAATGGGGTCTCAACCACAGCTGATGTGCTTCTAAAAGGTTAAATATTTTACTTCAACTTTTGTGGAAGCTTCTCACCAGTTGGTGTTTGCATCACATGCCCCCCTTGTTGATCCACCTTCATCTTCCCGCCCCCGGGGGGGGGGGGGGTGCGGATGCGTAGAATCTAGTTTTTACCTTCTATAAAAACACACAAGAATTGTTCTAAGTTTACTAAGTATCTGCTTATGCAAAGAGAATTGGAGTCTTTAAATCTTCTAGCTGAAATAGTTACTGTTACATTTAAATTGCTTAATTTGATCATAACCAAATTTCTATGAACTGAGTTAATTTGTATTACAAAACTGAAATTTGGGTTTTGTTTTGTTTGTGCAGATAAATTTGTCAACGACATAGAACCAATTTTACCCAATTCCAGGTACTTAGAGCCAACTAAAGAAGGTTTTCTATTCAAAAACTCGGCCTGTGATGCCATAAAAGATGCAGGCAGCGGCACAGAAGAGGCTCATCATGTACACCATCGAGATGTCGGCACAGAGATGACTCCTCTTGGAAGCTCCACAACTTCGAGGTGCTCTACGCTGTTCAAGTGCTCATCTCCCGCGCGCCACAACACACCTGCAAATAGGTCAGGGCCATTGGCATTGGGGCACTCTAGCAGCACCAACAACACCATTGACATTGCCCAGCTGCAGGAGTGCCTCGGGACGCAGTACGATTCAGTTCAATCGAACTGGAGCTCAAGGGAAGAAGAGGAAGTGGAAATATCGAAAAGCTTGAGACATTTTGAAACAAGCAATCCGTGGGGAGAAAGAATTTCTGAAATTAGAGCTGCTGCATGGGAAGGGGAAGAAAATAACAAATGCTGCCTTAGGTAATAACTAGATGTTAAACCACATTTCTTTTGAGTTTTAAGAGTAGTTTTGCAGGTGGTGGGTAAGGCCTTCATTTTCGATGCACTCCATCTAGGGTTTAAACCCTCTCCCCGTCTTTTACTCAAACTTAGAATAGTAATATCGCTTGTAATAAAAAAATGAATGTGTTTTTAATGTACAGGTATCAGAGAGAAGAAGCAAAAATCCAAGCTTGGGTCAACCTCCAAAGTGCAAAAGCAGAAGCTCAGTCAAGAAAGCTTGAGGTACTTTTGTCATTCTGTTATTATATCCTTGGTGGAATCTTACTCTAGCAGGTTTTTGTTCTTTAACCATTTGTTGCTTTTGCATGGCAATTCAAATGCAAGCATTACAAACGTGAGATGGTAACTTGAATACTGATGTTGCCTCCCTTGCCGTTTTTCTGTATGATTTTCTATTAGAATAGGGAAATAATTGGAAAATATACAAAAGTTGAACTGGTTATAAACGTTTAATAAGAAAAAAAAAAAAAAAACCGAATAACACTAAGACGTCACATCAATAAAGGGGCACACAAACCCTGATTTAAATACGGCTTATTCTTGGGTGGTAAATGATTTTCACACTTATTTTCTGCTTATACACCCGGTTTAATTTTATCCCTTGATTCTTCCTTAATTTACTCAATACAAAGACCACAAATAAAGTATGCTAAAATCATTTCCCTTCTCGATTTAGTGATCCTCTAATTCTATTTTTGATTAAAAACTTATAATATTTTCTATTTGTGTGTATTTACTATAATAATTTTCTAACTATTGTAGATTCCATATGATGGATCCATGAGCTGGCATTTCAAGTTATAGTGCACTTTTGCTATTTGGTTATCAAACATATTACTAAGTGGTTGCATTGTCAAACTGCAATGGTAGGAAGTGCATTACTATATTGGTTCTGGTTGGATTAAGGTTATTGTTTTGTTGGCATCCTACTTCTCGAGCCACCCGTCGCTCTTGGATACTACTCTTCTTTTGTATTTTACACTGGACTCTGGTCCACTTCCATTGAAGTGCGTTTTGCTTTATATAATATGTAGTTTCTATGCATGCCAAACCTTTAAAGCAAAGAAGAAAGCTAGAAGTCATCACCCCCGCATTTTAATACTGGCAAGTAGCATTCCCATGTGCAAGTAGCAGCATTTACAAATCCATAGGGAATTGGAGAGTATTTACTTTAATTGGGTTGGAAGCTTGGTTTTTTGTTCTTTCCTATATTCATTATAGATTAGTGAAGATGGCACTATTCAGTATTCAGTATTATAGTCACACTATTTTGTAGCATCATCAATTCATTATTGTTATAACTTGGATTTTTATTTGTTAATACCATACTTTATATGTCCATGACATACGAATCATGTCCAATTTAGTAACAACACATGACAGTGTAGCGGTCACCCTAACATTTCACCTTTTCTCTTTTTTATACAATTAATATTCTACTTTTAACTTGCCTGCATAGTGGGAGCTCATCTACTCTACAAAATGTAGTCAAACTCACGTCTGCAAATTTCTCCCTTTTCACTTGAACTTCATTGTAGTTAACTGGCTGATGCATTTTTTGTGCTGGATTATAGGTGAAAATACAAAAGATGAGTTCAAACCTGGAGGAGAAGCTGATGAAGAGGATGGCAGTAGTGCATAGAAAAGCTGAGGAGTGGAGAGCAACAGCGAGGCAGCAGCACTCTGAACAAATCCACAAGGCCACCAACAATGCACACAAAATGATCACAAATAGGCACAACCCACATTTTTCTGGCCACATTTCTTGCGGCTGCTTCCCTTGCAGTAACATTAAGTAACAATCGAGGTCATCAAAGAAAAAAATGCAAAAAATATATATTTATTGATTTGTACTACTACTTAGTCTCACAGATAAATCAGAACTACATATTTTAAGAATGAGGCTCCATTGTAAGTTCAAAAAAGAGCAGTAGTGGCTGCAACACTAGGCCATTTTTTTTTTTCGTTACAAGGGGAAATCGAATCTGAATTAGAATCTACAATTAACTTACGAACAAGGGAAGCGATTTTCGTACTCCTGCTCTTCCTCCTGTACTTTGTGTGAGGATTGAATAAATAAAGGAGGATTGATGGATGTGAAATGCATATAGGCGTGAGTGTAACAATCACTACTTGGGGTTATTTCGGTACAATTGGATCACTGATTGGGTTTCCATTTTCCATTCCAAAAAGTTTAGATCGGATGGAAACACTATTTTTAATTCGGATTAGAAATTTTATGGCGGAATTGAAAATTCAAACTTGCACCCCAAATCACTACCAATGAACAATGTCTTAATCAAGTATTGAAGGATAACCTGTAAATGACATTTCATTAATCCAATATTTGGTTAAGAGCATTTATCTTTATAAATGAAGTACTGAGTCTAATTTTTTTACTTGCCAATATCGCTTGTATAAAGAATTTGTGTTTTTTGGTGCAAGTAAAGACTGTTGATGGAAGTAGCAACCTTGCATGCGCTTATAAGTAATTTGGATACTCCTTATATTGTTAATTGATTTTACGGTGAAACCACAACTTTCTTCATTGTATTAGAGCCAGTTGTACCACATGTGAAGCCCAATGGCCACACACTTTCCACACCACCCCGCTAGTATTGTCCACGTGGTAGGCTAGAAAATTCCTCACACATGAGTGAATTCCACATTAGTAGAAAGAGTAACCTTACATGTGTCTACAAGTAGTTATCAAGGACGGTAACGACCCCAAAAACAAATTAAGTCCAAACTGAAACACATTTTCTTCTTCTTATTAACGACTTGACATTTATGACTTGTTTACTAATTCGTAATCAGATTGAGAGGAATTGAATTGAGAAGGAATCAGAATGAGGTGGAATCAGAATTAGATTTATGTTGAAGTTGTTTACTAAAACTGTTTAGAATCGAAGTACAAATGATGCATATTCTATAAGTTGTTTACCAGTTCATATGAATCGGAATCAAAAATAGTTTGATTACTAAAATACCCTTGTACAAAACATATTTAAATTTTATTTAGCTAATTAATAATACAATTATTTTGTATATATAAAACTAATACAATTATTTATCATAAAAAAAAAACCTTTAATTACCATATAAAAAGCCTTTAATAACACAATTATTTTGTATATATGACACTAATACAATTATGTATCCTAAAAAAACATCTATTTACCATATAAAAATCCCCCACCATATATCAATTCTATGAACGCCTTCAATTAAACAACGAAATTAACGCAGGCCCTCCCCGTCCTCCTCGCCCTCTAAAAATCCCCATCTTTCTTCCCTCATTCTTCTTCCCTTATGATTCTCCTTCTTCTCCTCCAATTATTCTTTCTCTTCTTCAAATAACTAGCTAATTCCAAATATTTATTTATTATATTGGTTGTGGATGCAAATTTCCGCCTTCCTTTGATTGACAAATCTGCACTTGCAAAATAATAACACTTAAGAGAGAGACAGAGACAGAGGACCAATATGCTCCACATTGATCCTCTGTCTCTGTCTCTCTCTTATGTCTGCTTCTTCACTGGCTTTTGATTTGAAACCTAAAGGCACTCGGTGCTTTGCTATGAAGCCGAGATTGTTGAAAAGGTTGGAAGGAGAGGAGATAAGGGTATATTGGGTAGAAAAAACTGATTCCGGCTCAAGGCTTTCTTCCGGAATGCAAATACCACCTATTAGTTGGTAATTTGATTCCAGGTAAATCAGGGATTTGATTCTCTATTTTCGATGGGCCCAATATACAATTTCATTCGCCCAATGTTAGTAAACACTTGAATCACTTGGAATGAGTACAATTCTCAATCCTCTGACTTCATTCCTCTTAGGTAAACACGTCCTTAGAAAGAACTTGTAGCTCGAGTTATTGAAACCATATATTTACTTCAAGGTCTTATATATATACTTTTTGCACCGGAGTCCCAATTACAATTTTCCACCTTTTTTTGAGTATACTTTAAATAAAGATCACATGAGAGCAGAAGGTTAGACTGGACTCGGAAAACATCTGAAGCCTGCAAAGGCGAAGTGTGGAAAGCAGTGTTGTCTCCGTGCTGTTTCTTTGTTATTTGGCTTGTTGGCTTATTACCTCCGGAATCTAAGAACACCACAATATCTTCCTACCAGCCATTTTTGGAAGTTGGAACCTCTGGGACCAACCTGTAACCTATCTACATGCATGCAGCCATGCACGAGAAGAAAGAACAGGATATATACTTTTACCACTAGCAAATGGCAAAGAGAGATTTTGGCACAATAATAATTTGATTTCTTTATGTGCGCAAGGAGACCAAAGGTTTGATATCTTTTGATGATAAAAGCTGCACCAGTTTGTCTTAAATGACCTAACTATTTCAAATGTGATTGCTTTTCTGGTCACTCTTGCAGTTGCAGCAAAAGGTTGGCGATTGGGACTTGTAAGACAGTATTTGTAAGTTATTTATAAGGATCAGTTAGATAACTCACTTTATTTTGGACTTATAACTCATCTTGTCCAATTCTGTTCATCTTATATTTTGACACAACAAACAACTGAACTAGACTCTATTTTAATTGATCACAGTCTATTCCATCCAGCCCACCAAACGAGATCTTAAAGTTTTTGAGTCTAATATTGGTTAGCAAGTTTAGTAATTCTATGTTTTGCGAGATAAACTTACCTATAGCATTGTATCACAATGGTGATGACTCATTCTCTTAAAGTTGTATTGGTGGTATTTGTTGGAGGAAAGGGATCCTCTCCGAATCCCTTCCTCCTAATTCACCAAGTTTGGGGATTCAGGGCCGTTGAAATTTAATCCAACGGCTACAAACAGGAACCCATCTTTAAAAGTTATAATAACTTTATCGTTGGATCAACTTTTCAACAGTCCGGATCCCTGAATTTGGTGGATTAAGAGAAAGGGATCCGAAGAGGATCGCTTTCCTTCGTTGGACCACTACTTGGTCTTCATAATTGAGTCTGACTCATATATTAACACCAATATACAACATAAGAGCTTCTCTCAAAAGTCGTATATATATATGGGTTAGAATCCAAAAACACATGCTTTTGACACATATTTTGACTCTCATTTTGTAGAAGCTCATTTTGTAAATTTAAACAATTCGAACTGTATATAATTTAATGCATCATTCATAAATCATCCTTAAAAAAATTAGATAAATTCAAAATCAGTAAGACATTTATTTATAGTGAAGGAGATGAACAAACATGGTTCTAAAAAACACCAAATTTATTCCAACGGTCATATAGTTTTTGATTTTGGGTATTTTTAGTAGATATAATATTTGAGGTAAGACATAAAAGATAAACGGTTGAATCATTAGAACTTATTACGGAGTGAGTCCCACACAAATGTGTCCCTGAATCCTAAACCTGCATATAATGGTGGCAACGTGTATTCTTTGATTTGTATAAATAAATTCTACTGAGTCATAGGGTTTAGCCATTAGTGAAGAACACCTAACATAGAACGAGTTCACCATCATTTAGTGTGCCGAACCAATAATACATTATCACGTAGAGAAAAATTTATACATGACAATGCATTATTAAATAAAAAACATCATGTGACGATGAACCCGTTCTATATAAGTTTTTTTTTCTTCTGTCCACGTGCAAAACCCTCATAAAAAGCCAGTAAGGCATGACCATCAACTTTAAGGACCAATAACTTTAAATTTTGATTACTTAAAGATGTGATATTTTAATTACCCCCTTTGATTGCTACCTCAGTGTATAACTGTTTAATCATGAAGATGAAAAGGACCCGCCACCAACGACGTTGTTTGCCCGACTCTGAAGAAAATATCTAATGGAGATGTATGAGCGAAATAGAAAGAGTGATGACATTCTCTTTGGGCCTTGGCTTTGAAAGCAAGGTGCCATGTTTCCTGGTCTTCCAAATTTCTTAAACCATGTTAGTTTAATTTTAGTGGTTGTTTGTTTAGTGGGGTTTCGGCTACAATATGCCACTCAATAGTTACCAGTTATATGCAAAGACTACTCGTTGGAAGGATTCATTAGATTCATATATCCAAGATTTAGTTATTAACCAGCCTCACGCACATGTTCATGCGCATGCAGAAGACATTTTTTAAATTATGGCATGTTACACACGACTTATAGGTTTTAAATCATGTTAGAAGAAAAGTCAAATATTTGAAGTAAATGAATAATCTTAGATCATAAACCCCTTATAAACCAATTAAAGCAGCTGAATTCACAGAATAATCAGTTTGTATAGAATTTACATTAAGAATAGAAAAAAAATAACATTTAATAAACAATTAATTGAATCACATTATTGTTAGCCCATTGTGGGGCAAAGCCCACTCCTCCCCTTAGTATAGATAATATCGTTTGTTAAAAAAAAAAATTCATTTGACAACTAATTTAATCACATTATTATCTGCGTGCAAAAGACTTTTTTTATAACCGGCATTACAGGTCTCTTAAGATGTTTTGAACGTGTTTAAAATAGAGAGAATAATATTTAATAAACAACTAATTGAATCACATTATTACTAGTCCATTATGAGACTACACCTACCCCTTTCCCCTTAGTATAAATAATATCGTTTGTTAAAAATAAAAATAAAAAATCATTTGACAACTAATTTAATCACATTATTATCCGCGTGCGAATTTATAACCGGCATTACACGCCTCTTAAGATGTTTTGAACGTGTTTAAAAATAGATAAATCGAATCACATTATTATAGTCCTATTGTGAGGTACTAATTAAAACAAAAAATAATAATTAAAAAAACCAAAAATCATTAATTATTTTAAAAAAAAATAAGTATTAAAATGACGAAAATGCCCTTGCATTATTTTGGGATGTCTTTGAAGTGTTTTGTTTTGGGGCATTTTAGTCCAATAATTTTTGGTAAAGCATTATGACATCAAAACACTATTCACCTTTTGTGTTCTCTTTATATATAACTAGTCTTCATGCACGAGCTCACGTGCGTGCAGAAGACATTGTTTCAGTCATGGCATGCTATTTATGACTTATATGTTTTAAATGTATTTATATGCGTAAATTGACAAAAGGAAAGTCAAATATTTGAAGTAAATGAATAATTTTAGATCATGCTGGAAGAAATCCCTCATAAGCCAATTAAAGTAGCTGAATTCACATAATAAAATCGGTCTCTATAGAATTTACGTCAGGAATAGAGAAAATAATATTTAATAAACAATTGATTGAATCATATTATTGCTAACATATTGTGATAATATTGTTTATTAAAAAAAATTATTTGACAATTAATTTAATCACATTATTATCCATGTGCGAAAGACCTTTTTTATAACCGGCATTACACGCCTCTTAAAATTTTTTAAATTGTTTAAAAATACAGAAAATAATATTTAATAAATAACTGATTGAATCACATTATTGCTAGCCCATTGCGAGGCTAAGCCCACCCCCTCCCCCTTAGTGTAGATTATATCGTTTGTTAAAAAAAAAAAACAATCATTTGATAACTTATTTAATCACATTGTTATCCGCGTACGAAATACATTTTTTATAACTTGCATTATACGCCTCTTAAGATGTTTTGAACGTGTTTAAAAATAGAGAAATTGAATCACATTATTGATAGCTTATTATGAGGTACTAATTAAAAAAAAAACACCAAAAAGTAAATTATTAAAGAAATACTGTTAAAATGATGAAAATGGCCCGACGTTAGAAGTTTTTTGTTTTGGGGGCATTTTTGTTCAAATTTTTTTGTTGAAGCATGGTGACACCAAATCACTATTCATCATTTTCATTCTCTTTATATATAATAGATAGATATTTCAGACCACTTAAACGATACATACCATGTAAGAAAAATTGTTGTTCAGTGTGCCATTAGTGAAAAAGTTCTGTATTTTATTGAAGATCTGTAAAATCATGATATGCCATTCAAACCAGTAAAAGCCTAGTACGGATAAGGTATTATTCTCATAACATCCAGTTCGACTGTACTGAACATGTTTATCCACTACAAGAACAAAAGATTACAAGGTCTTGACACAAATGTTCATCTCTATTGAACGAAAAGCCTATGGCGCTTAACCTGAAAGATCAAACCACTCGGGTGTTCTAGTCACGGAACTCGTCCATGAACGACTTGTGGAAGTCTGTCAGACGGGTGACAATGGCTGGAATTTTATGCTCTTGAGGCAATATAGTGCATCTGAAATGCCAGGTGCCCAGAACCTGTCACAGTGCAAAGGAAAAAATCTTCAGTTAAAACTGCTCAACATGACAGTCGTTTAATTTTAATCAACAAAATGATGGGTTTGTCAACTTCTTATAGTTTTGTTGAATTAAACGCGGTCCTATTTAATCACCAACACTTTGTGGACCATAATTTTGTATCCCTTAAAACACTCAAAATTCAAATATTTCACTGTTCTGCCATGAGGTTTACTTGTCATTGTCGCTTAGAAAATATACAAGGCAAGGATAATATCGTATTACCACTTGATAGGTTGCATAGTATTTTCAATTTATGTGAGCAGCCATTCCTACCACGCTAAGTAACAGACAAGAATAAATAAACTAACCTGCCCAAAACGAGAACCAGGAACGACCAAAATGCCTGTGGCATTGAGAAGGCGGCGACAATAGAATGCATCTGGGGCTGTCGTTGCAGCCTCCGCTGCTTTAATTGCCTTTTGAGGCAGGGTTATGCAGGGAAAGAGATACATTGCTCCTTCTGCTCTGTTGCATGTCACACCCTCTAAGCTGTTCAATGCTTCTTCTAATGCCTGCATTTCAAAAGAACCTCAGTCGCGCTGTGCAAAAAATTTAACGAACTTCGGAAACTAATGTCATCCTATTGTATTGACTGTTTCATACTACTAACCTTCGCACGCCTTGCTAGGGATGACAGAATTCCATCCTTCTCGGCCAAATACATTTCATAGGATTCATCTCCAACCTGAATTCAACCAAGAAGTTTCATCCATTAGAAAACAAACTTATTTGATTTACCAAGTTTAACATCAACTGAATTTCCAGATCCCCATGCCATGTGTAACAAATTTAAGTGAAATGACGAGAAAAATTGTGCTCCTCCAAAGCCCCAATGGCACACTTAACAGAAGAACATCGTCCAAAAATTTCTGATTTGGAATGTTCCGAAATTTGTTAAATAATCAGTAAGCCTCAAAATGCCCCAGAACGAAGTGTCTGCCAAATGGTTTTAAACTAGTATGCCTTTTCCCATTTCGGACATTCCAATATTTGAACCTAACTACGATGCTAAATCCTCAATTCTCAATCCTAAACCCGAAATAATTTCTCTGAGAAAAGTTAAATACAAGATTATTACAAACTAACCTTTGGTGGACTCATGACAAGGCTTGCAAGAATTTGACCAGAGATATTAGAACAAAGATTCATGGCTGCCATTTTGTATACTTGTTCCCTTACTTCAGGACTGATTCCAGTGACTTCCATGTAACCACCTCTTTTTCCACACTCCCGTAGTACCCTACAGAAGAGGAAAAAAAAAATGACAAACTGTTCCAGGTTCATTAATTTCAACGAGCTCCTTGCCTTCATGACGAACATAACGATCCACCAAATTACCTTTAGAGACTGATTGAAATGATACCAGAGAAATATCCTGCTCGCCATATCCCATAGACCGGGATACCTTCTTGAATGAATGAAACTCCTTATCAGGTATATAAACATTTTCTTGATAAACCTGTATAAATTCATCGAAACATGAGACCAGGAAGTAGTTATAGAAGTTTCTAACCACATTTACAGTTCTTCAACTATGTCACAAAGAATTAAAGTAAATCTTCCAAACAAAAATCCATCTACCTCATCTGCCAGCAAAACAAGACCTTCTTGCTTGCAGAAGTCCACAATCTGCCGCTGGTTGTCCTCGGCAAGAACCTGCAGACAAGATAACATAAAACTTAACCAATGACATTCCAGAATTAAGCACAAGATTCTCTTCCAATAGCACCCCTTAAGAAAATCAACTATTGACAAGGAATTTTCTGATTAAAAGAAACTCATATCTCACCTGTGCTGTTGGGTTGCCTGGATTTATCACAACCAAGGCCCTTACATTGATACCCTTGGACTTCGCATCCTCCAATTGCTTCTTCAACTCAGAAGTTTCCAATCCCCACCCCGATGCCTCATCAAGAAAGTAGGGAACCTGCATAAACCAAGCCACAGATTTGAATTCTTACAATGATAAATGATGCATATAGATAATATTCTCCAACTTCTAGTTTCTGGCAGTCATGCAACATCAATTTCCTAATGATCAGGCAATTCACTAATTAGTTCAATTAAAGCTCGAGTTTTAGCCAATAACAAGTTAGTCTTTCAGTAATAGAGTACAAATGCAAAAAAATTTCTATTTATTGACATTTATCAAATGAATAACATGACATACCAGTGTGCCACCGTGGAGGGCAATTGAAGCAGAGTACAAAGGGTGTTGAGGAATGGGACAAAGAATCCCATCCTTCTCTGAACTTATCAGCAATTGCATCATCATATGGATCTGGAAAGAGAGAAAGGAGATGGTTATGAAGTGGAACTTGATATATTGAGGAACACCGTGACGCTACTAAAGTTGAACAGAAGGGAACTCAGGAGATACCGCAGGGCTTGCACCATCGGTTAAGAAAATATCATTCGGATGAGCAGGATATCCATCACGAGCTTCAATTCCAGCAGCAATTGTATCACGTAAAGCCTTGATACCCTGATGTCAAAGTAGGCCAAAAGGGTGAATGCATTATATGACATTTTGCTTATGAGTTTCATCCAAGTTTTACAATTTATGTGATGTAAAACCAACGATCTTACCTGTCTGTGACTATAAGCACCAGTTGCTCTTCCAGGAATTTGATCCAGAATTTGCCATGCCCGCTCTATTGCATCGGCACTGCAATGGATAACAAAGATATCAACAGAAAGACAAGATTTTAACTTCTAGGAAGCCTTCTCTATGAATTCTTACTATTAAATTGAATAGGATTGTAGGACGCCTAAAAATTTATTCTTATACATTACAAATTTCCGATACCTGAACAAACCCTGTGTTCCGCTTTTGTCCAAGATGGCTGGATGTTCACATAATGCAAGAACCTGAAACAAAGATTGTAACGATTAAGGATTACATGAGACGTTTCAACATTAATGTTATCAACCATGTAGTCCACTAAACCAACCTCTCGGAAAAATGTTATCGGTTGCTGACCAAGAGACTGAGGATTTCCGATATTGCAGCAAAGAATCTGTATAACATATGTTCACAGTGAGTACCCAAGTGAGAGAATGTGCTAAAATATAGATTCAATACTGTAACTCGTCAAAGGAGAAAGTAAACACACCTCATCAAAGGGATGAGAGCCGGGATTCGCCCTTAATTCTTTGTGTAACCTCTGTGACAGGAGGGCATTACAAAGGAGATTAAGATAAGGGAAATAATTACTTCACTTGGATTCAGTCATAAATTTATGGTCATGTATGTACCTGGGCAAGGGTGAAAATTTCACTTCGGACACCATATTTACATTTCAAAACCTGTAAAAATTAGCAGTGAGGAGTGATAAATGGAGTAGAATATGTTCACCACTACTAAGGAATCAGGAAACAAATTTAAGTATTTGACTGTGAGAAACTAAAAACTAGATTAAATAACCAATTAATCTAATTATTACCCTCTTGAAAAATGAAAACAAATCGAGTTAATCTCATCAGAGTGACGAGTTAAATTTACTTTGTCAAAAGTTAAAATATAAAACAAAACTGAGGTTACTTAGTAGTACGGTCGGATGATATTCCTTTTCACAAGGTATTAGGTTCGAATCTCGTGAATAGTGAATTTGATATCAAATTAGGTTGTCAAGTCTCGTAGAACTTCCCATTTCCTTAGTGTAAGATATATCGTTGTACTAAAAAAAACTAAGATCAAGAATAAGAGGGCCAGTGATGCAACAATGTATGGGTTGAAATAAAATAGAAAATTAAAAATTCCCAATATACCGTACATCCACGATTCATAATCCATCAATCTTATTATTATTATTATTATTAATGTTTAAGAGAAAAACATGAAATCTAAAGACGAAAGAAACTACATAGATTAAAGAGTTAATTTCAATTTATTACCTTTAAGTTTCATGGTTTTCAACCTTTAGTACATGAAATTTTTTTCGTCCCAAAGTCATACCTAAAGTGTTAATTTTGGGACAGTCTCATACATCTGTTAATCTGGTTATTAAATCTCCTGTTAACTAATGACGTGGCTCCTATATGAACAATGATTGGATGCCACATGTCAATAAAGGTCCTATGTGGATATTCAAAATTAAAAGATTACAAAAAAAAGGTCATTCTTCCTCAAATCTCCGACCCTCCTCCCTTCTCCCTCCCTTCTCTCCTCTCCACCTACCCAACCTCTGTCCACTTCGAACTTTTATTGACAAGTGGCGTCCAGTTATTGTCCATATGGACGCCACGTCATCAGTTAATGGAAGACTTAACAGCCAGATTAATGGATGTATGAAACTGTTCTAAAATTAACACTTTAGGTATAATTCTGGGACCAAAAAAACTTTATATATTAAATGTTGAAAACCACGAAACTTAAGACTAGTAAATTGAGATTAACCTAAATTAAAATTATGAGAGATCATAAACCCCAAGAGTCAAAATAACAAACAAATCAAAGCAAACCCGAATGCAGAGACATCAAATCAAACACCTTTGATCATCTACACGAACAAAATCAATCAAACAGTGATCAAAACACCAAAATACACATGAAAATAAAAGCATTCATCACAAAAACAGCAAAAACAAACCAAAAAACAAAAACCCAACCCAGAAAAAATCACAAACCAGAAAATAAACCGAGTTGGGATAAAAAAATCACAAACCTTGGGATTGATGTTCTGAAGAATGACGGGAGCAGAGCGATCAGCCATGGGAGGAAGAGAAGGAGGGAAATCTACAGCTGGAGCGGCGGAGGAAGACAGGAAGCGTGACCGAGAAGAAGAGAACACAGAGGAAGAGGAGCTTGTTGGACGAATCTGCTGTTGCTGAATGGAACGGATGAGAATGTTTCTTACTCTGCCGCTTGCGAATTTCCGCATTTTCAAGTTTTTATAGAGTAAACAAAAAAGCAGTGAAATTTTATGCGTGATGTGATGCAAAGGGAAGCTAAATCTATGGGATTTTGGGCACCTTCTTCCAAAAGCTAATACTGTGTGTGTCGATTGTATGCTGAGTCCAGGAGTTTCACTGTTAGATGCCCTTCTCCCACGGAATATGAACCTCTGTTTTGTACGTGGATTTTCCAAGTAAAGGAGAATTTAAACCACATTATAACTCGTTTATTGAGGGCTTAACGCACTTCTCTATCTCTTGAGTATAGATAATATTATTTGTTCAAAAAAAAAAAAACTTGGTTTACGAAATATGATTTAAATAGGTGGCCTCCGTAGCATTATCTTAATAAAAATAACTAGAATTTTTTTTATACATGCACTAGAACGTAAGATTAGACCATAATACTAAGTGATAGAAATAAAATACCATTAGAAAGTTCCGAACATCAAGTTTTTTACTAAAATATCAAACTTTGTATTACAACAACAACCATCAAAACTTATCGTACTAAATGAGGTCGGCGGTTTGAATTTTAAAACAACATTACGCATGGTTTTGTGCCAAGTTTCCATTAGCTCTATGTGAAATCCCGTTCCTGGATTTCACTATTAAAATCTATGTATTTGTATTATTGAGATTTAATATTATTTCTCGAGAATTTATATTAAATTGTTTGAATTTAGATTTTAATTAAACTAGTTACGAAGTTTGAAGTTTGGAAATTAATTATTTAAAATTCGTAGACCTTTCGAGTTCACAAGTAATGTTTTCAAATAGATCTCAAAGCCACGAATGGCTAGACGAAAACCGTTTGCAAATCCGAGTTTTAACGGTATGGTTACGGACATTTGAAATCGTTTGCTAAACTATAGTTTTTAATTAAATAAATTCCCGCTTCGTGAGAGAGAGGCCCAATCATGTAAGGGTTAGGGTAGACCAATCAGACAAAAGGGAAGGGGCTAGATGGCAGCAAGGGGAGGAAGGAAAAAGGGAGTTGCGAAAGAGGGGGGTGGGGGGAGAACGTTCTTTCACGTTCTTCCTAGCTTTGCGAGGAAAGAAAAAGAAATAAGGAGGAGGTGGCTCTTCCGTGGCTGCTGGAAGAAAATCCTTCGTTCTTCAGGCAAAACTCGGAGAGAGAGGAGTTAGAGAACGTGATTGTGAAGGAAGGATTCAGAGATTTGAAGGATAAATTTCTTGTTACTTCATTATCTTGATTTTCGAATTTAACTTTCTTAAGTTGAATTGTAACTGCCATGATATATTGGAGTTCTTTGTTCTATTTAGGGTTTCTATCGTTCAATGAACTAGTCAAAACATGAATTAGAGTTGGGTAATTCGGATTGGGTGTGTAGATTAAATTTCTTGATCAAGGGTTTGGTTCCAAAGGTCAATTTCTTGTTAATTTTGAGTCATGTTAGTTTTGGATGTTGTATACATGACTTCTGGACTACCTGGAAGTATTTTGGGATTTGTTATATGAATTGGATGTGGGATGTTTCGTAAGTTGCAGAAAATTGATTTCTTTGCAAAGAAAACTCAAATTTCGAGTAGCCTTTTTTGGCTCTTAATTTCTATGCCTTTATGTGCTCCTTTGGAGAAAATTTTTAGTGTGTTGAAAGTACATATGTTCATGATCGTAACCCAATTGTTTTCACTCAATTCCATTGAGTTTTGGTTGATCAAAACCTTTTTTAAAGTTGGGTCGCGAGCTGCCAAACAGCAGCAGAAAATTGGGTTTCCAGTTTCAAGACTCTGTTTTTCCTGTTGGCATAACTTCCAATTTAGAGCTCCATTTTCTACAAACTTTGTATGCTTTTAAAGTAGAGAACACAAGCTTCAAAACCCATATAATATTACATGATTTGGTTTAGTTTTGAATGTTCCAAAGGGAGCCTAAACTTGGTCCAATAGTGCTGTTTTCTGCATATTTTGTGGAGAAGCAGAGTACTGTTTTTGCCACACCTATTTTCTTTTCCAGATTCCTTTCTAATCTTCTTTACTACTAATTGAGTGATATTATTTGAGTGGTAGATTCCAAAATTAGTGTACTTTCTTTAGATAATATTAATTTTGTTCCTTTGAAGAGCCTAATCGGAACACAAAAGTACAATCAAGAGTATAAATACAAGTAGCACACATTACTAACCAAACTAAGCTATTAAAATGTGATTCTTTTATAATGGGTCATCGATATATTTTTATTAAATGGGTTTGATTCATGGATGGGTAATATTTGTGGAAAAGTGATTCGAATTGCATATTGAAATGTGAATTTTATATATATATATATATATATATATATATATATATATGCGCCATAGACCCATGTTCATTAAATGTGAATTCTATTGAAGTGTTATTTTATTTCTGGCCATTGATCTATTTTCATTAAGTATGATTTGACTTGTGCATTGGAAATATGGTTTGTATTGTATGATTGGATTGATGTGATGAAATGCGAGGGTTATTAGTGGACCATTAACCCATTGTTATGGAGTTTGTTGCTTCGAAACATGTTTCAACCCTTGTGTCATTATTCATTCTCATTTCGTTGAGTCTTTGTACCTTAAGTAACTTGATCCATGTCTTGTTTTATTGATTGGTGTTACACATTCTACTCCGCGATTCCATTGAGTGATGGTCCGGAATCGCATCCTGATTTGGATTCCGTTGAGTGATGGTTCAGAATCATATCCTGATTGGATTTTGTTGAGTGGTGGTCCAAAATCCTTGCTCTTGCTCATTTTCATAAGGTTATCTGAGAATCCTAGATTCGAGTGAATGAGAATTACCCACAATGGATCTTGTGAATACAAATTAGAATTACCATGTTATTATTCATAACCCAAGTAGGGAATTATGTAGAGTTCTTTAATGTTATCTCACTAATTGATTAACGTAATTAAATATTAATATTGTGCTTCATGATTCCTTGATGTGTTACAAGCTATGGATTGAGATATAATGTTGAAAGCATAGTGATTGGTATGATGAAGTGAAATGTGATTTGACTTATGTATTGGAAATGGTTGTGACATGTGATTGAAACGCATATTGAATTGCTTGGGAGATGTGAGGTCTAGTAATGAACCGATAACCCATAGTGATGTGGCTTTGTTGCTCGATATTGTTTCGTTTTGTTGAGTTTTCATGAATTGAGTAACTTGAATCAGTCTTGTTCCTTCGAGCCGTTGTTATGCTTCTTGGACTTCCGTTCAGTTCTGTTGAGTGGTCCAGAACTGAGTTCTGCTTGGATTACGTTGAGTGATGGTTCGGAATCCCTTCTACTCCATGATTCCATTGAGTGATGGTCCGAAATCACATCCTGATTTGGATTCCGTTGAGTGATGGTCCAGGATTCCCTTTGGTGCCTTGGTTCCATTGGGTGGTCCAAAATCCCCTTTTCCAAAGATGTAGTCTTCGGCCAAACTGTGTCGCTCTAGCCCCGGGTTTCGACGTGTTGTATGTGTTATTGATGATGTGATGGTTGGCATTATTGATTGATGTGACTATGGAATGATGTTGGTTATGGTTATGGTAATTATGATTAGACTCGTTGAACTTTATGACTAGTGAATATGATTGTGCTCCACCGTTTGTCCCTTGTAATTTTGTATGTTATGCATGGTGATATATTGTTGAGACATAGCAATTTAATTGATGAATATTCGAGTATAGTGAAATGGTGAACTACAAATGACTTGATCCTTATTAAGGGTACGTAGGCAGTCTAACGAGGAGGTTAGATGCAGCCATAAAGTATACAAAAATTTCTATGCAATTTGGATCTTGAATTATGCTATGTACATATTCCGAAGGCAGGGTATGTTCGAGATACAGGTATTTGGTGACATCGCGTGTCGATTCTGGTCTTATGTCGGGATCGGGGCGTAACACTCTAAGTACTCCATAAGTCTATTTTCAAATCTTTCTGGGTCTTTCTCCACCCTTTTTTTCCTCATAATCACGTCTTCTGACTGAAGCATTTGTAGGTCTCCGATTCACATGTCCAAATCACCTTGACAAATTTTCTTTCATCTTATCTTCAATTACGGCCACTCCTATTTTACCTCAGATATCTTCGTTCTTAAATCTATCCTTCCTCATGTGCCCATAAATACAACGAAGCATTCTTATCTCCACTACGCTCATTTTTTGCATGTGTTGCTTTCTGACCGCCCAACATTACATGCCATAAAGCATTACTAGCCTATAAAAAATTTCTCGAGCTTTAGTAGCATACAACAATTGCACAACACATACGATGCACTCTTCCACTTAATCCATTCATCTTGTATTCTATGGTTGAGATCTCTATCTAATTTTTCGTTCTTTGCAAGATAGATCCAAGATAACGAAAGTGTTCACTTCTTGATCATCAATCTTCACCCATATCTCATTTTACCTACATTCCCACTGAACTTGCACTTCATGTACTCTGTCTTTGGCCTACTTGGGCAAAGACCTTTAGATTCCAACACTTCTCGCAAAAGGTTAAGCTTCGCATTTACTTTATCCTGCTTTTCATCTATCATCATGATATCATTTGCGAAAAGTATACACCAAAGGATATCATCTTGAATGTGTCACATTAACTCGTCCATTACCAGTGCAAAAGGCAAGGACTTAACTGAGCCTTGTTGTAATCCTATGGTTATGGAAAAAGTTTTTAGTTTGTCTTTCATGAGCTCTTACTACAATCCTTCCTCCATCATATATATCCTTTATTTCTTGGATATCTTCTATTCGTACTCCTTTCTTCTTTAGAATCCTCCAAAGAATTTCTCTTGGGACAATGCCATGCGCTTTTTCCAAATGCATGAAGACCATGTGTATCTCTATATTGTTCCATTGATGGTTGTAAGACATAGATTGTCTCCATAGTCAAGTATCTTGGCATGAACTCGAATTGATTCTTTAAGACTCAAGT